CATTTTGTTTTTAATCCTGATAGGATTTAATCTAAAGGAATAGGGAATATTTACCCTCAACTAGGAGTAGACATAGGTCCTCCTCATCACCCGTAGGGTCGATCAATTTTATATAAGGGAGAACCCTTTTAATGGAATAGCTGTAGTGCATCCATTCGTCACTAAGTGTGACAAATAATTAGGAGAAGATAAAGAAATCTTCTATAACTATACCTCCAGAGTACTGAGTTAGTATGTGTATGGATCCAGAAGTTAAAGGTTTAAAAAGTATAATAGTAAATGGGGCTCAAGTAAGATACTTTGTCATCATGATGTGCACATGACTACATTTGAGGCAAATTTAACGGTTTATAGCGGCCACGTGTAAGAAACGGAGGATACATTCATAATTAAATCATAATTGAAAATCATAAGATAGGAATTTTAATATTCATTGAATAAAATATTAATAGGTCATTGAGAAAACGAAGTCGCCTGAGGTTCATTCAAAATTTAAGCAAAATATAAAATAAGTACCCGATAGTGACATTAAAATGTTTTTCACGAACATTTGCCAGCCCATTGTTTAAAAACAAGTTATGACTTCTCCTTTTGGAGAGCTAGAGGTATACATGATTTAAAAATTTGTGAATGAAAAAGGAAAGGACGGCTTTGAATAATGAGAATGCTATGAGCTTCTAGACCAAGGATATGATATAAAATTTTAAAGGTAAAAGATGGTACAAACCACTTAGAAACCTAAGGTAAAAATTTTTGTTTTTGTTATAACGGTTGCCACACAAGGTAGTAGTTATACTAAATGAATATATATGTTGTGTTTATTTCAGTCAGTGTATAAACAAACCTTCAATAAGTGAACCAGAGGAATAAATGAATTCCTGTTTTGACTCATTTTGTTAAAGACGCTTCTTTGAGAGTATAAAGAATAATTATATAAATAGTAAAAAGATAATGTGAATGTTAAGAATTCAAGGAAATGACACTATAAAATCTTGGCTAAATGAGATGTTAGTAAAGGAGGAAGAGACATAGTTCAATGAGAGTAGTGTAATGAATGTCAATGTGTATATATATAAGTATATGTTTTGTTTTGTGTTCCACTAAACAAATAGATAAACTATAAAGAATTACGAGTAGTGGTATTGATATATTGCAGAATTAGTAAATTTAAGATATGTAAGTAAAATTGAATTACTGGTTGTGTAAAAGCATATTTTTTCAGTATTTCCAGTAGTTAATGTATAAATTTGTTAATGTATAAATATTTGAGTTAAATCTCATCCTATATTGTTCATAAATAAATTTTTACTTTTTATTCTGAGATCAAATAGAGGAAGCCTATTGTAAAGGTATTGATGAATAATATCTAAAGAAAAAATCAAATAAACAAGTTTACTTTATTTTTTCTTTTCCCCAAGACTAGGAGAATGCTATGTATTGTAAAGACCGTCGGTGGAATAATTAGTTGAAAGGTATAAACAAATAAACATTAAGGTAATTTAGGTATTACCTAAATATAAACATATTTAGGTATAAACCCAACATCTGGCGGTTGGGTACCTGACTGAGGGTAACCCATTAGGACAACCTTTTGTAAGTGGTAATAAAAACCCTTAAGGACCACCGACAAAGACCGACAAGTGTTTAAACAGGATCCCGAAAGACCTTTTCACACCTTCCACCAGAAATACCTAAGTCTGTACCTGCGGCTTTACCTTGGCCTGGGGGAGAGGGCGTGGTCATCCCTTAGGCTGAGGATATTCAGCCAATCAGCAAAAAGGCTTCCGAAAGAGAGGGGGATGAAAAAAGGTGGGAGATAGAGAACTTGGACGAGGACACTTCTTTTTGGAACTCGGAGGAGAGAGGACTTTGGCTTGGAACTCAGCTGAGGACAGCTGGATGAGGAGAGGCTGATAGAAGAGAGGCCTGATAGACTGCCCAGCGTAGAGATGTCGGATGGACTGCCCGGCCCTGAGGAGGTCCCTGATGTTTTCTTCTAGCTGGAGGACTGAAACATGACCCATGGACTTTGCAGATGCAGCCATGCCATATTAGATAAGTAATTCCCAACAATTCCTTTTCAAAGATGTTTAAATATTTAATGGCAATGTAATTCTAAATTCCATCCATCTGAATCATGCCGTCACAACCAATTGTATAGTTCATTTTTGTAAATATAATGTATATAACATTCTTTCTCATAACTTGTAAATAAATATAATTTGTACATAAAAGTTATTTTAATCATGCCACCTATTTCTTTCATTATAAGCACAGGTAATGTTTGGTAATTAGAGAACAGATAAACACACAACAAGCCTTTGTGAGAAGTAATCCAATAAATTAATCAAGGACCAATATGTCAAATGACATAATTTGTTTAAGTAATATTTTTATAAATTAATTCTGGATAATTATCTTCAATAATTACCAGTGGCATCCCGTTATCAAAAACTACTAATCAAAAACCATTTGATACGTAGCAGTATGTCAAAAGAGGCCTTATTATAGTCATGTAAATCAACCATATTACAATCCTTTGAGAATTGATTGGAAGCTTAGAGCGTTTTTCTAATGAGTGTTGAAGTAATCAAATTAATTAGACACAAGAGCTGTCTGAACACATTAAAGACACGCCAGAGGCCATAATTGAAAAATACAGATGTTAATAATAGGCATATTGAACGATTTGAAGTGACTCGATGGGCTTACGCCCTTATATTGAACGTTCACTCATCATTGTAAGTTCTCTAGAATAGGTTATGTTAATATAAATGGATCAAAATATTTCTTCATATAGGACTTTCAAATATGAAAAATGAAAATCTGAATAAAAATGAAAGTCTGAAATAATAAATAGTTTTTTAAAAGATATCTTGAACTATTCTTCTTCGCATATTCTTTTCATCTAAGATGAGTATGCTATATTCTAATTGTAGTGACATTATTAATTCGTCGCTGGATTAAATTAATAACAATCTCCCCACCTCCCTTCATATTGGAAGAACAATGTATCTCTAGTGAAAGGGGTTTTGTTCTGCACTGGCGAGAATTGAATGTGGACCCAATGTATGGTTATATTATACTACAGGAGGCAGTTAGCAGGACGACTCCTTATTGTTTGAGCGTTTCATTAGCGAACAAATGGTCCTCCTCGTGTCCTTTCGCTTAATGAACTCTTATCTTCCCACCTACGTCTTGTACCCTAAATTGTTTGGCTACATTCACTAAACTTTAAGCTGTTACACATTTTTCGTTCCTTTTTTTGGGGGGGGTGTATTAACTCGATTTCTGAAGACCGAAAACCATTCTTCTAACAGTTTAAGCAAAATCCTACAGCGTAATTGTGAAATCCATTTTTACGAGAGAAATTACTCTGTCTTTATTAATTTCTGTTTTTAAATTTAAAAAATCAGTAAGTAGGCATTTGTTAACCTTCAGCTGGAATCTAGCTGATCGTTCTTAAACTATATATAAATCGGTGTCCATCCATGGTGGACTTAGTCTATTGACCATACCTCACCGCTAACCGTTCTTTTAGTTTCGGCTTGAGTCAGGATCATACACCTTGTCAAAGTTAAGAACAGATAAGAATCCCAGATCACTTTATTCGAAATGACGGTTATGCCGAAAATCGAGGAGCTAGTCTGAGTTTTAAAGGAGCCTCTTGTTCCCCCTTTGGGTAACGGTGGCTATTAGGATAATTGGTGAAATCAGAGGGGCCGTTCATAAATTAATTAAAGGAATTGTGTTATTTAAATTGATACAATTGTTACTAATTGGTAAGGGCCTCTTCGCCCGCCATGTTTACTGCCTCCCTAGGTGGCACGGGTCCAGCTAGTTTAACTTGAGTAGCATCCTCGATGCTTTTAATTTATTTTATACTACATGAAAGATAGTCGTATATTATAACTTCGAAATTGGGCACTTATTTAAAAAAAAAAAAAAGACGCATGAATTGGGTTGCAAAAAAAATCAAGAGATACGAACGTATACAAGCCTAACATTGCATTTTTTACATAACAAAAAAAGCATATTTAGATAAAAAAATTGAAATAGCATTGGACCTAGAAGATCTAGGTTTGATAGGATATGATATATTGCTTATCAGGAAAAAAAAATAAGTAAATAAAAATATTTTTTTAAAATGGTCACTAAGAGCTAGAGTATAACTAATTGAATTTCTCACCTAAAAAAAAAAAATTAAAATTAAAAAAAGAAGGAAGGAAATAAAATTTTAATTAATTATGACTGAAACATATTAAAATTATTTTTAACACTTTCATTAAAAAAATAAAAATTATTACAAAAAATAAGAAAATATATTTCACTTATTTTTCAATTGATACTTCATTACTTGTAAACAGTTTTTATTTTATTTTCTCATTTTAATCTCAAAATTACGATATATCGTATTAAAAAAATTTAAAACTATAATTTTTTTATAGTTTTATGGGGTCTATAAAATTAATTATAAAATAGTGTCCGCTAAGAGAGGTTTCCGGTATATAATAGAATTGAAACCGAATGACGCACAGTGGGACGATTAACGGAAAACCCGCAACATCTATTATTTTTTTTTTTTTTTCAATTGAACTATTCAATAAAAACAATGAAAATGTATATTCTGCCGACTGAAAATATTTCACGAATTCTAGAAGGATCAATATTTCACGCGATTGAAAACGGGACACGTTTTAAAGTTTCCGTTTTAAATGTACCGAAAACTGGCGGGTTTACTCTATATACTAATTTCACAGTGTGAGACCATAGCGCCAAAACAATTTTGAAGACTATGATATTATTTATGTAGTAGCACTCTTTGGTGATCACAACGTCCCTCTACTTTACAGACTTACATATTACAAAATATACATACTATTGAAATGTATGTATATTTTGTCATTGGTAATTGGTTGACTGTCGTGGATAATGAAGAGAAGAATAGTTGGGGTGTTCAGTCAAAAAGGAAGGCAAAAATAAATTATAATATTTATTTTTTACATATGCCGACGTTTCGACCTGAAGTTCAGGCCTTCATCAGGGCTAAGAAAATAATCAGATAACAAGATATGAGAAACATAAGTAATGATGGTAAAAAAGATAATAAAAAAATAAAATAAAATAAAAAAAATTATTAGAAAAATAAAATAGATAAATATAAAGTAAAATGAAATTGTTAGAATAATGACTAAGAACTAAGAGATAAATAATAAAAACTGTTACAAAGTGTGGAATGATGAAGTAGGCATAATCAAAAAGGGGTGACAAAAGTGTCACAATGGGAATCTTAGAATAAAATGGAAAACATAAAAAAGAAATATAAAGTTATATAAGAAATGAAAATAAATAGTAAAATTAAAACATTGAGAATGGAGTAGTTAGATAGAAAATTGAGATATTGTAAAGTCTATCTAGTTAAAAACAGAGAAAAGGAATGAAAGGAAGGAGGGAAGAAATGTATATTTTGTATATTTTTATATGTATATTTTGAATTGTCTGAGAACATATTATCTCTATTAGGTTAGACATTTTTAATACTGTTGATCTGAGATGTACCATCTACGGCCTTTACTAAAGTGAACTTTCACAATTCTAATTATACCGCCAGAATTGGAGATAAGTTGATTGGATAGTTACCAGTCAAATTGTTGAACACGTCACTCGAAGAAATACGAATGCAATTAGTAGTAAACGTGACGCTTATTAATTTAGTTTCGAATCTATTTGGCGATTGAAGATTTAATCTTCCACAAGGCTTATCTCCATGCCCATGCCCTAATTGCTAGGGCACGGGGTATAAAGGTATCCACCACTGACAGAGCCCTAGGTAACAGATGGCAAGGGTCCAAGATAGGACGCGCAGTCAGCAAGCAGGGTAAATCGCCACCCCATTAGTGCCTCTTATCTCTACACTGGGGGGGAGGGATGTTCGGTACTAGGGGGAGGGAGCGCTGGGTGGACCAAAGTCTGAGCCATTGGATCACTTTGTCTTGATCCACTGATAGCGTCCGGATAACTCACTTATCCCTCTTACACCAAGACTTTTCTTGCTATATCTCTTTCCCTTCTTACAAGGTTCTTTTTCTCGCTTCTTTTCTCTAACTGTCCAAGTGGTATTGAGAAAAAATCATATAAAAATTGTAAGTATTTTAGGGTCAGCGCACTAGTGTTGAACACAGCTAAGCATATTTTGTATATTTTGGCTTAGACCGCCGTAATTATTATAGTTGTACATTTAGAATCTCTAGGGTCTCCTTTTTCTAATGAACACTTCAAAATTGAAAAAAAATATTCAGTTATCCAGGTATAATCTCCATTTAAAAAAAAAAAACTTTTTGCACTAGTGAGGCGGTTGAGAGAGTATCGTAGAGTTCTCCTGGAGTTTCCTTGCCTGATTGTAAATAGTGTAAATAGATATGCATGTTTTTAGCTTATAATTTTCTTATTTTGAGGTTATTTTATTTTATTTGTTGTATATACCTTTTGATTATTATTTATTATTATTTTGCTTCTGTTTATTTTATATTTTTTTGTAATATAGTGTGAATGTTATCCTACCTCACTATTGTCCATGTGACAGATTGTTGTAATACTCAATAAAAAAAAATTGATGGACAAACCGAAATTCAATTGTTCCAGTAATTGACAGGGAGGTCGGTACCAGTGATAGACATACCTGAGAAAAATTCTAAAATCTTCATTTAACTATAAAGATATAAAGAATATAGGAAACTGGAGTGAAGAAAGAATTGCCAATGACCCTATCGGGTAGAGACAAATTCAGATAATAAATAAATAACTATAAAAATAACATTGCTAGAAGAAAATGGATGAGTACCAGTGGATCTCACTAGAAGTGAGGCTGTTGCATAGTTTATGATAAAAACCGTACATGACTATCTCCCATGCCATCTATACCGTATTGGAGTTGTCGAATCAGCAAAATGTCCACTGTGTCGACAGGGATTAATGACTGCTCTGCATCTACTGACTTGTTCCGGACTACTGGACATTAGAAACAAAGCGAGGATAGAAAGTGAAATTTTCTGGGCTGCTAGACGTTACATGGCCGAAAAAACTCAAGACAATCAAGGTATAGACGATAAAAAAAAATAATAAAGATAAGATAACAGAAATGTTCAACTTAATCTTAGGGAAACTGTTAGTAGGAAAGTATGAAACACACTGATCTCAACAGCATTAAGAAACAACAGTGATAGGCATTGTAAAATTTTCTTTTGGAAACTTTGTCAGTTGTAAAATTTTCATAAAGTTGTCAAGAGCATTGTTCTTCAAACTGGAACCATTAAATCAACAAAGAAGTTTATTATTTACATTTAAAGTCCAATCTGCCCTTCATAACTGGTGCGTTCACCCTACTTGTTTTCACTTAGTCATTTTGATATATATATATATATATATATATATATATATATATATATATATATATATATATATATTGAAATAAGGTAAAATCTTAAAAATAAAATATGAACTAAAAGAATCATATAGCTCGACAAGAGGCATAAAGTGATTATGTTATAAATTAAAAAATCCAAATTATTAAACCGAAACTGTCCAACATACAGGTGAAGATTTAATTTAACTCTTTTGTATTCTTGTATTTTAGGTATGAGTAATTTTTCTTTTCTTGTATCCCTGCTAATCAGCTGTTCGATATAACCTTCTTCCGCTGTATTATTAGGATCTTCGATTTTCTTCAGTACGTATTTGAATGGCTTCGTAAATTGGTCACAAAATCTAGATAAGAGATGGCCTACAAAAACATTGGGTAGTTTGGGGTGACCTCCACACTAGGCATGTCAAAATACCTAGGTTATATAGGCCAATCGAGTCAACGTTTTTGAGACTACCTTTTTTTTCGATTTTATAATCAAATTATCTTATGATTCACAAGTGGAAAGCAAATGGGTATTTACGAATTTTTAGTACCTAATTAAATAGACAAAGTTTGCCGACCTCCAGATTGAAAACGCCCCAATTCCAAGAGTTTTCGTAAATAAAATACTTGTAGGTTAAAATGAAATGAAGCTATCCACGAAGTTTTAGACGTATGTTAATAACTCGATAAAAAGGAGTCTGTACCGTGGAGTAAGTCATTAAATAGGCTTTTAGCTATTCAATTCTTAGCCTATTCTTCTGTATTTCCTATTTCATCAAAGATCGATATAAGTGAGAACTAAAACAATGGAAGTAATAGTAGTATAAAAAGACTCCCGACCCCACGAAGTGTGAAATAAAGCATTCAGGATGAGGTTGGAGAGCCAAGAAGATTGGAGCTGTCAATGGTCCGAATGGAATTGGGAATCCGTAATCTCTGCGAGCCGACAGCCACATTTCTCAGGATGTTCCTCTTGAGTGATGAACTTCAGGATGGTAGAGTACTTCCTGGCGATTCATGATTTGCAGAGGCTGAGGAGGCCCAAACCAGTCTTTGCCACTGATAGTGAATCGCGTTGACCCAGTTAAATCCATCCGTCTCGAGACATTCGCCAATCGGAAACCTGTCCAACTGGTCCAAATTGCCATCATTGAAGACACTTAATTACAAAAATTGGCTTTCTAGACTAATTGGCGAATATTAAAAAATATGTAATATATATATATATAGTAAATATGAATTCTTATTTTCAATAGGCTATAAGTTGGAATGATATGTTGGAATAATGTTTTCGATTATTCTTTTATACAACTTCTATGTACACGATTACACTTCTCAACTAAGGTGATTTGGACTAGATTATATAAATCAGAATGTAATTAATATCATAATTATAATATTTTTCGAATTAAGTCCATAAGATATTCTAATCTTATAACATAAATGATCAGAATGATTATATACATATATATATATATATATATATATATATATATATATATATATATATATATATAATAGTTATGAAAGAAATAGATGAATTTTTATGTACACATCTCTCAAACATTTTTTGATTGAGAAACTGAGTTGATATTCGTAATTAGGAGCCTGATGAACCCTTAAATACGAATTTTCACAGCAATCGAAAAATAAAACTGTTTTCTTTGAATTTGCACCAAGGCTATAGATAGCCATAGTTTTTTCAGGAAAATCACTAAAAGTTTTATAACAATGGATTTTGACTAATGAGGTATCAATTGAAAGGATATATAATAGAGACGTCAGACCACCCCCAGAGTTCAGCGAAAATAGTTATGAAAGAAATAGATGAATTATTATTTACAAATCTCTCAAACATTTTTTTAAAGAGAAACTAAGTTGATATTCGTAATTAGCAGCCTGAAGAAACCTTAAATACGAACTTTCATTGCAATCGAAGAATAAAACTGTTTTTCTTCGAATTTGCACCAAGGCTATAGCCTTAGTTTTTTCACGAAAATCTATATACATATATACATATATATAAATATATACATAATATAAATATATATATATATATATATATATATATATATATATATATATATATACACATATATATATATATATTTATATTATGTATATAGTATGTATATACATATTATATCTGTATGTATGTATGTATGTGTTTTAAAGTACTTAATTTTATAGATTCATCGGTAATGCAAGTTTTGACTATTTTATGTAGAATTAGAACATAGTATGATGAAGAATCTGTTATTTGTAGAACAAAATATTAATTTTACAGCTAATAACCTCAAATTTGCGCGTTGTATACGATTGCTAAAATATATATTAGAATCCTTTTAAGTTGATAAAAAAAAAGGGACAAGGCGCCCCTGCTTCCCCACCCTTAATGGGACAGGACGTTGAAGTAGGTTGTCCTTCATTATCGGATTGAAGGAGTGACGGAGGACGGACTGTCGACTTACCGGAGGAGATGAGGTGCGGCCCAGTCAGCATGGTTTAGGGATGAAAAATATCCTCTAGTCAGCAGGGCTCGGACACAATCGGCCCGAGCATTTGTCACAAGCTGTGGAGCAGCCCCTTGCATTATGAGAAACGCTTTTTACTAACCCCTCCACCTCCCTTCTTATTGATTTAGCCATCTAAATCACTTCAACTTGAGGATTTATCAGGCCAAAGGTGTTGCGAATGGATCCAAATCATTGAATTTATAGAAAATATTTCACTTCCACAACCGCACATGTTTATTATACTCTGAAAATTAAAAACTGTTAGTGTTCTGAGTAAGGAGATGGTCGGGGGTGGTGGTTATAAAATTACTAAAATAGTAAAAAAACAATTTATAAAGCCGACGTTTCGACCCGACTTCTTCAGGGCTAGAACGAATTAGAAACAAAAGGATATAGAAAAATGTGGATATTACATAATATTTAGATACTAATTATGAACAATGTGAAGAAGACCTGCAAAGTCGGATCGAAACGTCGGCTTTAACTAAAGTAGTTTTTTTAACTATTTTAGTCTTTTTACGACAGTCACCCCAGACCATTTGCTTAATCAATAATAAAGTCCAACTATCAAGTATTCAAAATGTCACTATTAGTTCAGATTTTTATCTACAGATCGATTTTCCTCACTATTTCTACCGGTTACATAATTATATATGCTTCTGCTAACTATATATGCTACAAGTTCTTAATTTGTCGTTTGAAAATAAAATTTAAAAGAGAAAAAATTTGAAGTATAGTCTTGTCAAGGTAAAACGCACGCCGAACCTAAAAGAGTAGACGACATTTGATTTTTTTTTTCTCTTCAGATATTTATTCGCACCTGTCATGGTAGGGACAATCAGAAGATTTGTTATGTTAAATTAAATGATCGGCATTTAAAAAAAAGCTTACTCAGCAAAAGCCCATTTCTCGCAGACATCATCTTTTTTAAGCAACTTTTCTAATTAAGGCAAATAAATTTCATAAGTTTCAATTAGGCAACATTCTAATTTTATGCAGTGGACTGTATCTCCATGGATTGGTAGGTTATAATGATTGTGCAAAAATAGCTCACCGTCTTTATGCCAGCTTACATCTTTTGGTTGCCTTGAGGGCCCCCAGATGGTGTGATCAGGGTGGCTGTCAGAAGAGAAGAGCCGCGATAAACGAGCAGTTCTCGAGGATTAAGTGTCGTCTTTTAGATCTTCTAATCTGCCCCCACCACTCGCCGTAATGCGGGAAATTCAAACCATTTTTGGCACAAACAATCTCAATTATTAAAGGATATGAATATAAATTGTTACCGATTTCCTTTTCCAGCTCTCTGACTTCCTTCCATTCTCCCAAATATTCTTGGATGTATTCACTCCCAAGTAGCTCAGGATAAATCACTCTTACAGTTTCATTCTTGTAGTCACACTCTTGCCAGAAGATCTAGGTTCATGTTCTTATTGTTATACTCTTGTAGGAGACCTGAAGTTAACTCTTGCGGTCAACCCACATAGAATTCAATACAGACTACATAAAAATGAACCTTCAGATTATATATTTTATCGGATATGTTTGATAAATGTTTTCCCCTTGTAGAAATCGAATTGGTATTTAGTTTCATTTGTTAATTACTTGAACGTTTCTCATCAGAAACCCTTCCAGGAAAAACGAAAAAAAAAAATGGTAGATTCCCTTTGAGCCATAACCCATAAAGGTTGTTATTTGCAAAAGACTTGACGCATGAGCAAACCTGAAAAATACAATTGCTCAGTCGGTTGGTTTTCAATAATGGCAGTTGTTTCTTTTATTTATTCAGGCTCTTGTAGACCTCCCTCCTCCCCCCGCCCTTCGCTCTCTTCTCGAGCCCTTGAGTAATTATTCAAGGGGTCAGGTGTTGACAGAGGGCCCTTGTAGCTGTTAAACAATGTAATTAGAACTGCGGCTCAGTCTGTTCTGGAACAGAAGGAGTCTCTGTTTGAAGATTAGATCGGGGATGCTGGTATCTCCTGTCTACAGTTCATTATCTGTCTGAGGATCCATCTGGGTACGGGTAGTATTTAAGGGAGAATACTAAATACTATTTGTACGGAGGAGAAAGTAGGATGAATAATACTATATCTGGAAGAAGTTAAAAGGCCAACAATATATTAAAATAAAATAATGATTTAATGAAAAGTAAATTTTACTCCGGAAGACATAATGCCCTTTGAAGAATACAAATGTACAATTCTAGAGACATTTGTCTAGTTTCATAATAATAATTATGAAGTGATCAAGTTGTTATATAAATGACCTAAACTAAGTTTAAAGTAAACGATTAATAACATTTAAAGTTAAACGTGTCCTCTGATCGTAATGTGTTTTTTTTTAACGAGGACTTTCGTTTTTATCATTCTTTCTGTTTATGTTAAAATATTTTAATTTACTTATAAAATGATGAGTCGCACCTGCAAATATAGCGGCTAATTTAAAGAATATTAGGAGAGCAACTAGAGGATCAAAATGAGAAATTCATTCTGAGATAAATCTGGTGAAGTCAATACCCACGGTCAACGAATGTTAATTTTTACCAAATTTGTCAAAAACTAAGACAAATTACTATAAATGGCTCTGTAACTTGGGAATAACTTTTCTAATAGAAAAACTCATTGAATAAAAGTTGTAGAACATCAAATTCCACGTCCATTGAGTACCAACAGCTTTGATATAGGTCTCTTACATCTATCAAAATTGGTAATCTCCCGATGGATGGAAATTGATAAAGAAGTTTCCTGCGATTTTCAATATTTTAACTGTATGGGTGTATATTCTGCTTAAGTTATTCTTGTTTAGAGTCCGCCATATACAGTATTATTTTCCACCTCTCAGCAGCTGAGGATTTTGAGAACGAGTTTTCAAAAGAAACAGAATTTCATGAAGAAATAACGAATCTTTATTCGAGAGATATAATTCTCAGTGTAAGTGGAATTTAATACTGTACAACTTTTATTCTATGTTGTTTTTTTTCTATGAAATTCATTTCCAAGTTGCAGAACCGTTTCTTCAACATTGCGTTTTTCAACAAAAACAAAAAAATCAGGCTTTTTGGCTGTTAAAGGTTTTTTCTTGGTGGCCTGTGTTGGAAATTTTATTTTTTATATGTTTGAATCCATATTTACAATTTTTAAAAATAACCACCGAAATAGACTACTGGAAAAGATTATCCAGAATGGATAAAGTGAGAAATACGACCATCAGAGAAAAGATGGAAGCTAAATGAACCATTCTGGAAGACATTGAGAAAAAACGCCTGAAGTGGTATGGACATTTGAAAAGAATGCCTGAAGGAAGACTTCCCAAAGTTGTCCACTTATGGAAAACTAGAGAAAGAAGAAGACGAGGAAGACCAAGGAAGTCTTGGGATAACGAAGTGGAGGAATCCATGATGGGTCATGGTCTACGGGGAGAACGGACCTTAGATAGGACATTATGGAAAGAAGCCATCCAAGCACTTTAGGTTAAGGAAACCCACTATAAGTGGAAACTCCTAATAACAAATAAAACTTTTCTGATATTTTTCAGAGTAAATTTCCCGTTTCGATCCTCAAGTTGCTGGTATAATATTCTTAAAATCAGCCACCATTTTTTCAGGAAGCATAATCGGATTGGCAGACTCATTTTTTAAAAACAAATATTATGAATATTTTAAAAAATGACTATTATAATATTTCTTCGATTTAAGATCCTATTATTACATAATGGGAGTTTTTTTTTTTAAAGTACTGATGATTTGAAGACTGACGTCCATGCATGATTGACAGTATTCTTTTGAAACTACGTTTCCGTTAAAAACCAATGTTGACCCTGAGTTTTGAATATTTTCAAAAACTAGTCATCATTTTACAATCGCGAACGAAAGTAATACTATTTCAACCCAAAGTCAATAAACCAATCTTTATATGACACATTTTAATTTATTTGTTTTTCGAATAAAATTGGCCCAACTGTATCCCTTTACTTCCAAAGCCAAGTTAAAATTTATTTGGGATTATGTGACTGGTTATTATAATGTAAGGCTGGATGTATAAAACAGGTATATCTGTTAAGTACTAAGTAGATTGTTTCAAGACCTGCCATGAATTTAACTCTTTCTTTTTTTTAGTGCTCTTTTACTCTTTTCTCTCTAAAAATAACAAAAGAAAATTTATATCCAGAGCACTCAGACGTATCCTTTTATTCAAGGTTATTTGTTTTTAAATAGCTTATGTCCTCATATTACGATAATCAGATTCAGAGATAGCATGTGCTAATTGAGACACACCGGCACCCATTGTTAACCGGTAGTGTTGATAATCTGTCTAAAAATGTAAATCGATCTATTTCGATACTAGTCGATTAGATCTCTATCTCCAGATATCGACACAATCGGATCCTTGAGACGGAAGGAGTAGAGCGGCCATTGTGGGGGGCGACCCCTCCTCAGGGGAGGAAGAACAATGCCGGCGTTATGAATGACTCTAATTTCGCGATAAATTTTGATGGGCCCTTTTGCCGGCGATGAAAGAAGAAAGAAATTGATGGCATAATTAGCCCGGAGGCAAAATGTCCTATTTTAAAAATGAATGCGGGCCTCCGAAGGTTCTTGGAACATTGCAGAGATAACATTATTTTATTATTATTTTTTTTTCAGCGTGATGCCCCCGTTCGACAACAAGTTCCGTACCGTCTAACTGTCTGCTAATTGACAACTCCTGTTCTCATCGATATCGGTTATCGATATGACTGATCAAGTACAGAAAGCAAACGTATCCGCAATTTATTTGTGAGTCAAGGTCAAAACATTAATTTCCATTGAGCTAAAAATATGACTAATAGCCTAATGATGAGTCATTATTTAGGTATTTGTTTGTAGATCACTAGTGTTGCCCAAATGCGAGACCGAGACTAGTCTTGGTCATTGTCTTGGTCTTGCGCCAGACTCTCGCAATAGTCTTGCAGTTACTTATTAGCTAATTACTATAGACATATTACTGTATATTTTTAGATAGAAAAAATCTGGCTAAGCCCGAATTAAAAATTAGAGGAGTTGAATGAAAAAGTATATTACTTATATCAATTATTAACATAC